AAGAAATTATTTGATTCAGCAATGCAGGTCAAGCAGGTTGTGGAAAACGTTTGGCAGAATGTTGCCTCCTTTCCAACACCACTCGCATGTGGGTGGGTGCTGCCACGTGTGGCCTCCTCAGACATCTCGCAGGGACAGTGATAGGGGTATCCAGCCTCCTGTTGCTTCCTCAGGGCCCAAACGGGGGTGGGAGGGGTGGGGGAGCTGACCTGGCTCTTCCCAAGCTCATGGGGCAGCCAAACAGATGCCTGTCCTGGCCGGGAGGGCCATCCGCGCTGAAAGGTGCCATCCTTGGACAGCCCCAGGTACACTGAAGACCAGCCTTGCACAAGCATCACCAGCCTTGCACAAGCATCAGGACGGATGATCGACAGCACAGGAACCCCCCACTTAATTTCCCTCTCCCATCCCCCCTCTTAACTGACTGCATGATCAGCATCTGGGCAGCGGGCATTTTGCAGAGCAGAGCAGAGCAAATCTCTGCCCCGCAGAGCTTACAATCTACAATTCAAACTGGGAGAAATGAAAGGTGACAAGGAGGAGAGGCACGTGAGGCCGGGCAGAGCGAGGATCTGCATAACCAAAGAATCGGGCATCCAGCGCGACAGCGGAGAGGAACTGAAAGTGCAGCAGGGTAAAAGGAAAGCAATTTCTGGTCTTCTCCCCCCTCCCCAACATGGGCCTTTAGCCCCCACCTCCCCAGCCCCCAATTCCTGCCCTTACCTTGCCATGGATCAGGAACTTATAAACCATGCCAATGATCAAGGACAGCCAGAAGAGATCAAGGAGCTGCAGGACTATCAGAAAGGTATTGAAGATGTTGAGCATGAAACTGAGCAAACTCAGGGAGGCAGTGAAGGGCAAGAAGGCCTGGTGCAATATGGTTCATGGGGTCACAGAGTCGGACACGACTTAACGACTGAACAACAACAATTGAAGAAGTAGTAGCCGAAAAAAGTCTGGGTGAGCTCCGTGGAATAGTAACACGTGTTGCAGAGAATCCTTTGGGGGTGCAAAAAGGAGGAGGAAAAGGGTTACGCTTGTGTTGCTGCTCAGCACTGTTTAAGGCTGGGATAATCGAGAGATCGTTCATTCATCCTTGAGAAGGGTGTTCCCAGCCCCTTTTAAAGAGGGGCTGGTTCGTCCTCTCCTCAGGAAGCCGTTGCTTGACCCCCCTGTTCTGGACAAATATTGTCCAGTCTCTCGCCTCCCCTTTTTGGGAAAGGTGGTTGAGCCTGTGATGGCACTGCGGCTCCCGGGCGTCCTGGATGAAACGGATTATCTGGACGCCTTCGAGTCGGGTTTCAGGCCCGGATATGGAACCCA